ATATACGCGAAATGAAACGCTGTTAAGCTCGCGACAGAGGAGGTGGTGACCGTGACCTGGGAGCGCGCCCCCCAGGCGAGCCCATTGGCTGCTGCCCCCTCCCCTCTCACCCCCACACACGTGCGAATGTAGGGCCATAATCAAATTTGCCAGGCATCTGGCGACGCGTTCGGGAAAAGGAGTGGCGAGGTTCGGGGAGGAGAGGGAGGAGGAGGAGGGAGGACTTAGTGGGGGAGAACGAAGCGAAGGTGGCAGCGTGGGGAGAAAAATCTTTAGCTACTCACGGCATTTGCGAGAAAAAAAAATATTCACAATTATTAAAGGATTGATTTTTTTGATTTTCTTTGAAAGGGTAGACGCGACGATCAGGACCCGTCAAACTACCCGGCTCGCTCCCTTCCCTTCACACACGGTGACGACGGCTTCGGGAGGGGGAAAAACATTACGGAAAAATAAGAATCGTGCGGAAGAGCGGTTGAAAACTCTGAAAATAGACAAGATTCATTTGTCATTGCTGTCCGCACGGGTGGGGGAGGGGGGGGGGGCAGGATGACGACCAGGGGCGCGGGGAGGGGAGGGGTACTCGCTCTCGCGCTCGCTAAAAGTGCTCAGTATTTTAAAAAAATAAATTCAAACGGCAGGTAAGCTATTTTTACAATATCTCATCTTGCGATATTAGTGCACTATTAGTGCACTATTAGTGCACATGCCATTATTTGCGCGGTGGGTATACAAGTCAGACAACATCGTCTCCACCGCGAGGTTCAGGTCGACCCGGCCCGCTGCCGGCTTGCCGCCCGCTGCCGATATTTTCATATACTGTAGATTGCTTTTCCTGCGGATGAACAACTACAGCGGCTCGGCCCGCTAAAGGTGAGCGCCATAGCATTGAGTGGCGAAGTGCTCCGCGCGGCGAGGCGTCGCGCCGCACATTCCGGGCGCACGGTTGTAATTGGAATTCGCGCCTAAGCGCGCCCTTTGTTCAGAGCGGGGCGGGGCGGGGCGCTAGTTGGAGAGACACACGCTGCGCCCCGCGGCATTGTTCGCGAGGGGCCTATACATATATGGAGATTTTGGCAGTGCAGGCCGCGGCGCAGGCGAACGGATTATACATCACCTTGGCGACGCAGATGGGCGGGGTGGGGCGGGGCGGGGCGGGGCGCGGTGTCTCGCAGCAATGCGTGCCGTGACGCGCGTCACTCATTGCGAAACAGCGTCGTTATGCTCGACTGCTAATAAAGCATTCCGGTAAAGCTAAAATGCAGAAGGATGCCAGGAAGAAGAAAACATAGTGATTTCCGTTTTCTTCTTCCTGGCATCCTTCTGGGACTTCCGCTTTCTTGTTCCCTGCATTCTTCTGCATTTCAGCTTCACCGGAGTGATTTATTACGCCTGGGGATTTTGAATCAAGGACGCATTATGTGGAATTCTTTTTCTTTAAAATGAAACGTTTCCGTTGCCTGTTTTGTTGAGAAACTGGCAGGAAGATATCCACACACGACGCCGAACAAAACGGCAGTCCGTTTATTCGCAATCTGCTTGCCCCGCTTTATTTCTTTCTCATACTTTTTCATCCTCCCCGACGCTTGTATCAACAGAGATACGGATCGCGCGTGCGGCCGCGAGGGCGGGGGAGGGGAGGGGGAGGGGGAGGGCGTCCCCACCGCACCGGTGGGCTTACAATCGCCCCCAGGCCGCTTACGGTGCGACTGTCTCTCTCCCCGCCCGCCCCACCTTTGGGGTGGACAGACACAATGGCAGCAAGGAGAGCGCTGCTCGCTCGCGCACCCCGCCCCGGTCGGATTGTGGACGCTGTGTTGTGTTTTACGCTGCGATGGACAGCTCCAGGTGGTCGAGCCGAAGAGGAAAGAGGGGGGGGGGATAGCAGCGTCAGCAGGTATTTTGTTATCCATCATAAATGGACAGGGAGAAGTCGCAAATAAGGAGCAAGATTAGTTTCTCTATGGTACGAAGTCGGTACGAAGTGACATAGCCGGAACTAGCAACCTAAAATACAGTTAGTTATCAAATCGTATCAAATATTATCATGAATTACGAGAGTTATTTCAGCAGCAGCCAGCAGCCAGAAGACCTTAAATTTAAACAATTTCAAAACGAAATTTACATTTATTATTACGTCGTATTTTGGCGATTTCGCGGTAGCATTTCCTCCTATGGTAGTTTTGCTCATGTGCGAAATGCGTCGTGCTTGTGGCCAGTGTGTGTCCGTGAGGTATATGGTCGAGGTGGGGTCGCGGAGGGGAGCGAGCGTGTTATTCTTCCGATCCGGCGGGCAGCAGCACCGCTCCCGTGAGGGGAGGGGGCACTAGTCTCCCACTGTATCGCCGCGACGTATCTTCATCCCTCTTTTATCAAGCGCTGTCCGCAGCGGCCGGCCCGCCCCGGCCCGCCCCGGCCCGCCCCGGCCCGCCCCGGCCCGCCCCGCGCTCCACGGGCACGTGTGCTCGAACCGCAATACGAACCTCAATAAAAGGATAACGTACGGTTATGTGCGGCGGCTGCCCGGCGGCCGGGCTACCCCCCACCCCCTCCAGGTAGAGGCAAACGGGGCCGCGACAGTGAAATAAACTTATTGGCGCGAGGTTCGAATATACGCGAAATGAAACGCTGTTAAGCTCGCGACAGAGGAGGTGGTGACCGTGACCTGGGAGCGCGCCCCCCAGGCGAGCCCATTGGCTGCTGCCCCCGCCGCCCCCACGGCCCCCGCGGCCCCCCGGGGTGGGGCTCCACCTGCCGCTACCTGGGGCCCCGCCCACCGCGCCCCCCTCCACCGCGCACCTGGCCGTGCCCCACTCCATTGGCCCGCGCGCTCACCTGCCGCCGGCCGCCCCCCACCGGGACTCGTCGTAAAGCGAGTTGGTGACGGTGGAATGTGTTTCACCCGTTCCTTGATGATTTCCCTCTCCGACGCTACCACCGCGAACTGGTTCAACAGTCCTGTTTTTTAGCCCACCCTAAAAGCTATCCAGCGGGCTTATTCTTGTTTTGGTTCCGATCGCCTGGCAGCGGACCCGCGACGCGCCGACGTCCAGCTGGCGGATGCGACCACCAGGACCACCCGGGAGGGAGGTGCGCAAAGCGCGTGCCCCTCCCCCCCTCCCTCGCAGCCCTCGCCTGGACCCGCCCCTGGCGGAGCGCGGCCCGCTCAAGGTCATAAACGCCGCCCTGCGAGGATGGGGGCGGGAGAGCGGCGGTGCCGAACACGACAACAGCCATCACATGCACCTCTGCTGTGCTGCTCGCAGCGCTCTCAGACAAAAGAAGGCCTTCGAAGCGCGGGCCCGACAGGCCCGACAAGCACAGACCTGCTCCGCAGCAGAGCCGCCGCTGCCGCCACAAAATTCCGGGAACTGCAGCGGCCCCGGCCGGCGGCGGCGGCCAGCGGGGGAGGGGAGGGGACCGGCGGGGAGGGGGCCCGCCGGAGGCCGGAGGACTGAGATCGCCCGTCAGGTCAGTCAGTCAGTCCGGTTCCGGTTGAGTTAGAGTCAGCCGTGTCCGAAGCCTCCGTGCGGTGTGAGCGTCGCACCTCTGCCCGCCGACCCACTTGGTCCTGGTCGTCGAGCTGACGGTGACCCCCTGCCGTGCGCGCACCCCGCACGACGACGACATCGCTCTGCCTCTGCACGCCGTCGTCGACCTCCTGTGGACGCCCGGCTTGTTGCTCTCGAGATGGCAGACCCTGTTGCTGCTGACGCCGCGGAGGAACCTCAAGCGGAGCAGGTGAGTGTTCGGACGATGACAACGACTGGTGTTGCCCCTCCCCCCGGCCTCCTACCCCGCCATCCTGGAGCGGTGTTCAGCGCCGCGGATGTGTCCACTTGAAGGGCCTAAACGCCCCCCCCCCCTCTCATCCCACGCACGGCCCAGGTCCGCCCGCCTCGAGGTCACCGCCCGACGGAGGAAAAAGTGACATTTTGATCACATACACAAAACCGTAAGCAAAACGAAATGAACCGTGTGAGAACCCTTCGCCGCAACTGACCAGTTCCGTTAACAGAGTATGAGAAATTGCTGTCCGGATGTCATATACGTGGTCCATCGCGCTGTCCTCACCGTAGCTGTTCAGTCTCCTGTGCCCGTGCCCGAGTGTGTGTGTGAGATGTGTCTGTGATGTGTGTGTGTGTGTGAGTGTGCCCCCCCCCCTTTCTCTTTCTCTGGTCCCGCCGGATGTTTGGGTGCGAGTCCCAAACACCGGGCCAGTGCGCGGATGCACCTGCAGCGCGTCCTGTCCCGCATTTATTTTTACAGTGTATGGGATTGGGTCCGTGGCGATGAAGAAACAACATAAACACCAGGCGAGAAATCATGGAGTGAAATGTGTGAAAAATTTCGTGGCGAGGGGATATTTTTCCAGGTAAATATAGACGCAGCTGTTAAAATCCGAAAACTCTGTTTTATTTGCGTTGTTTCCTAAAAACAGCAACAACAAGAAAAGTACAGTCATTGTCCCTAAATTCGGACGGTTTTTGAGGAAAAACGCCTGTGACATCTAGAATTTTTGAAATATGAAAAATCGCTGGGGATTCTAGAATCCTCACGTCGAGACGCACCTACCACTCTCCGAAAATATTTTTTCGCGCTAACGGTATAGGGGTGAGGGCTGTTTGAATCGTGTCCGTATTTAGGAACCAATGCGTCCTAAATTCGGACAGCTTTGAAAAA